TATATATATATATATATATATATATATATAGATATATGTATATATATATATTTTCATCATATTTATGCCGCTAATAATATACATTTTTTTTTAAACACAATATATAAATAAAATAACGCAAGAGAACAAAATAAATCATTAAATTTAAATTATGTTTGAAATATTTTATTGACCGTTTCAAAAACTATCTGTTTAATAAGCTGAAATTTCTCATTACAGTTTGGTCAATATAAACTGAAATAAAGTAAAGAAGTTGAATGTTTCAGCAGTCAATTGTTAGGTCCATGAGAAAATAAATAAATAAATAAAATGATTTGGTATTTTTTGGAATTTGTTTTGGGTCAAGGGTCGGTTGATTTTTTATTATTTATTATTAATTTTTTTTTTCAGTAAAGAGTTATTGAAATACAATTTATTACTTAGATCACACCTCCTTTATTATGAATGGTAGAATTCGTAAATATATATTTTACAAAAATGCATTTTTGAACAGTGCATTTACATGCATACCACCCAATTTCTATGGATTTACAAATATATCTAACACAACAACATCAATTTTTTGCTACATATGCCACCTTGCCTATGATTGAAATATAAGGTGTTAGATATGTACATATAAAGGAATCCGGTGGTATTTATGTAAAAACCCCCTTTTAATTTTTAGAAAGTGAAATATATGTAAGGTGATAAAAATATAAAAATTGAATTTTAGGTGTTAGTTTTGTAAATTAATAGGAATTGAATGGTATGTATGTAAATCTTCCATTTAGCTATTATGTAAGTATTGGGGGAAAGGAGATTTCAGCTAATTTGTCCTCTTATATTATTTAAAAGATAATAGAGGTTAATGACCTTTTTTGATATATATATATCTTTTATCTATATATATATATATATATATATATTAAAAATATAATTAATTTTTTTTTAAGAATAGAGATTTATTCTAAATATTTTATTGATAAAAATAAAGAGTACAAGCTTAAGTACAAATGATTGGAGACAAGCCTAGTTATAAAATGAATTGTACATGAAAATATATATTAGATACAAAGACTATTCACTCTTTTAAAAATTAATGACTAAAGTAAAATAAAAAATTAAATTTTGTTTTACTAATAATATTTTTTCTAAACTATGAAACCCCTCAATCCTCAAATTTTGTTATTTATATGTATTCCTCCCAAATGTTTTGCCACATAAAAAAATATTACTATTTTAATTTTAAATAAATACAATACACATTTTCATACATATGTATATTGGTATACATACATACATACACACACACACACACAAATAATGGGAACTATTTTCACACTTATAAAAAAATAAATAATAATTTAGAAATATACAACGCCGGTCTATCTGTTTGTTTGTATATGTTATATGCGTGTCTCCTTCTCTGGTAGTTGTCTGTTGTGATGAAGTCCGCCATTGAAACCAAGCTTTCACCAACTCCGGCTGCAAGCTTGACTATTAGTGGGGTGAACTCTTGACGAAAAACCCTAGAGCAGAGCTTCTCGATCCCAAACTCCGGCTGCCAACCCCACCGCCGGCCGCCGCCGCCGCCACCACCACTATTTCCGATGGGCACGCTGGCGTTCCCGAATCTCGGAAGCCATTGCTGCGTCGATGACTGCAGCCTTAATGATTTCCTCCCTTTCAACTGCGATCGATGCAATCAGGCGAGTTTCCCCATTTTTCTCCGATCCCCGTTGTTGTTGGATTGAGGTTTGGGAAGTCAACTTCAGTTTGGAGCTGATTGGAAATCTATCGGGGCTTAGGGTTTGATTTCAGTTGATTCTTGATTGATTTTTTGGGATTCTTAGCTTTGCTGAATATATGATCTAGCCGAGCCGCGCTTTTGGATTTGTTTCGATTTGAGCTGGAGAGTGGAGAGTAATCAAAATTGTTCTGCAAATTGAATTTATTTTCTTTCTGTTTGTTTGGACAAGAATTTCACTGAGATCTATGTTGCAGTGCTATGATTTGGTTCAGTATATATATGTTCAGAATTTCATGCGTTTTCTTTTCTTCTTTTTTTAAAAGATGTGATTAATGAAGATGGTGAGATTTACTAATCACATAACATTGAATTGGCTATTAGTTTCTCTTACTGATCTAAGTTTTTTTTTTTTTTTTTTTTTTTTTAAAATTAAATTAGTGGATCTGTATATTAAAATGGAAGCTTGTTCTAACATGTTGGATTGGTCTGCTGAGTTTGTTGATCTAAACTTTCTTCTCAAATTCAGTGGATCTGTTAAAGAAGATCTACAAAATAAGCATTAGTGGGGGATTTATATGTAGATTTTAGGATATATTCTGATCCTTATCCGAAGTAATATGAAATATTCTTTATAGCTAATGCTTATTTACTTGCGTATCTAACATCTAAACTCTTATGGTTTAGATGTTAGGTATGTAAATACATAAGAATTGTGTGGTGTGTTTGTAAATGCCCATTTCATTATTTGCTTATATAAATGGCCAATTTTGCACCTTCACAAGTTTTATAATTGATGTTTGTACCTTTATTTTACAACCAATACATCAGCGTTCTTATATGACTTGCTCAAGTGTTGTCTTAATTGTTCCCTCCGTTGCACTCTAAAGTGTTTATGTCATATTTATTGCTATCATTATATCAACAAAGCAAACTTCTGTCGCCAAATTATTATGTTTATATTTAGGGGCATTTACATAAATATCAACCAATTCCTATGTATTTATATATCCAACACTTGAACTTTGTTTTAGACTTCTATTCATACACACATCTCCACTTAAACTTCTATTTATTGTCCAAATCCTTAATAGCACATTACAAATAACACCATTTTAACCTTGCAAATGCAAAATGCACATTTTTCTTGCATCATTAACTTGGTATGTATGTAAAATCCCCACCATTTTGTAGTGGGTGCATTTTGATCCCAAAGTGTGTAAAAGTGTCAATTTAGTCCTCAGATTCTTTTAAAACAAGTTGAAATAGTCCTGACAAAGGACTATCTCAGCCTCGATTTAAAAATTGTAGAGACTAGTTTGACATTTTTATAAACTCCCGGACTAAAATGGCCTTTTGTATAGAGTCTAGGGGACTATTTTGGCACTTTTCTCACGTAAAAATTGAAGTTTTGATGTTAAACATGCAAATACTTAGGAATTGAGTTGCATGCTTGTAGATCCTCCTTAAATTTATTCAGAACTAAATTGCTGAAATGATAAGCAGGTATTCTGTCTGCAACACAAAAGCTACACAAAACATGTATGTCCGGTCATCAATCAGATCGATGTCACCGTCCTCATATGTCCCCTCTGCGCGCAATGGGTTCGTCTTCTTCCCAACGAAGACCCAAACATGACCTGGGACATTCACGTAAACTGTGATTGCGACCCATCAAATTACCAGCCCACAACAAAGAAGAAACTCTGTCCCGTCCCTGGCTGCAATGAATCCCTGGTTTTCTCCAACACAATTCGATGCAAAGACTGCACGCTGGAACACTGTCTCCGCCATAAATTTGCTCTTCACCACAACTGTTCCGGGCCAAAGAAACCCGAAACTCGCTTCCCCTTCATCGGCGTTCTGAGGAGAAGCCTCCAACGCGAGTTCCCGCCGATTAAATCTTCAAACGGCTCCTTGAAATGGGCTTTCAGTTTGAAAAACTCGGCGCGGAGTTTACGGGATTCAGCTGAAGCAGGGATGCAGAAGCTGAGCGCTGCCACGAATCAAGCTCTGAAAAAGGCGAAATGTGGAATGATGCTGAGTTTTGGTGCTGGTGGGGAGGTTATGGAACAGTGCCTTCAATGTCAGGCGAGTTTTTCTGATGTTAATGATTTGATAAATCATGTGGAGAAGTTGCATGAAAATGGTGTGCAGGGAGGTTGTGATTTAGTGACAGTTGATGTTTGTCCTCTGTGCGACAAAACATTTAGGGATCCTGTGTTGCTGGTTGATCATGTTGAGAACCATGTGAAGTCTGCAAGGTAAATTTAATGTTGAGATTTTTGTTTTTTTTTTACTATTTGCTTGCAATTATATGTTCATGCTCAAAACCTGCATTTTTTGTGATATTATCGCCCAAGTGATTCATTTTACAATAGGGAAATTTGCATACGTATTGCATGATTCTTATGTATTTACATATCTGGCACGTAAATTTTATTTACATTTATAATATTTTGTTGTCGTAAACTTATGCTTCATATCTCACACTTAAACTTTACTTCTTACATTTAAAATATTTCATATTACATCATGAATACTAAAATGCCACCATTTTAACTTTTTGCTTTTAAGAGCAAAAATTTTTATTTCCATGGAATTGTTCTTATCTCTCTTATACTACAGTAAACCAATCCACGTTAAATGTTATGTGATAAAAACATCATGAATCAAGAATTCATGCATCCATGACCATGAACTGGTTGATGAAACTGAAAGCATATCACTATCGGTGCTTTTTCATCAACTATTAAACTTTATTTTCATGGAATTGTTCTCATCTCTCTTATACCCCTACAAAATCTATAATTGCCACATGTTACGACATTTTTATCTTTAGCACTTTTATGCTTTTTAATTATAGTTTTATCTTCCCTTGAAAGGGTTATGGTGTTTGTATAAAACAACCTGTGCTTGGCTAATACTTCAATTAATTGTTGATTCTAATTGATTTAATTATCTGAAATTTTAACAATTTAGTTGTGAATATCTGTAAATTTTAGCAATTAATTATTATTATTATTATTATTATTGGCAGCTGAGCTATGTTGGTGCGGCCATCTGAGATTTGAACCAGCTCAAGGCTTTAGCAGAGCTGATTATTTTAGTTTCTGTAAAATGCCATTATTATAATTTTTATTATTATTTTTTTTTTGCATCAGAGTGTTTTCTGCAAAAGGGTGTAGTTTTGTTTTCCATCCCCACAAGGAGATGGCACATAAAATATTATAAATGGTTGGAAATTGCTGTTGATGTCCTCATTATATATATATATATATATGTATATATATATATGTATGTATATATATTGGATTAGGGGATCGTAATTGTCTCAGTCAACGGATATTTTGATTCTTAATCTGTTATATTATGCCTAATTAGAATAATTTTTTTCGTCTATTTTTTTCAAAAAATTAATTTTTGACTCTTATTCTGTCATCTTATGTCTAATTAGGATAATATTTTTCTTGTATTTTTTCAAAAAAAATTAATAGTTGATGAAAAATCAGTCTTGATTTTTAAAATTTTCTCAATAAGTTTATTTTTTAAGAGATATTAACAAGTATGAGATATTTTTTATGATTTTATAATTATTTTCACAAAAGAAAATTGTTTCAATCTTCTTTTCCATTTCACTGAAGGCATGAACATATTTCTTTTGTTCATAAAAATAAAATTATTGGATATATTTTATTTTATTTATTAGAATATTAATAAAATAAAATAATATAATAGCATAAATAAAAATGATTCCAAAGATCATAATTTGGTTCGAACAAAATAAAGTAAAATAATTGAAAATCATCTTTGTTAAGGAGCATAAATGGATTCATTGTTTTTAGGGGAAATTACATACATAGCACCCAATTGTTATGAATTTACTTATTTCACACCAAAACTTTCATTTTTGCACACATAATACTTTAATTGTAGATGAAAAGACGGATTTGACCGTTAAAAAGTGATAACAAGTACTACTTTTCATATGATATTTTTACTTATGAATGTTTTGTTGCGAAATACATAAATTTGAAAGTATTGGATGCGATCTATGTAAAAATCGCTTTTTTTTATCCTTAACATTTATTTTATTACATCACTATTTATACTAAGTTTGTTTGATAAAAAAATTACACTCATTGGGAAGCCAAAATATTTATACTTTTCTCATTCATCATATAGGGAACCTTAAGCACTTTTTGTTATTTGGTAATTGGTAAATTTACATACATACCCACAATTCTTATGCAATCACATATCTAACACCCAAAATGTGATTTATATTTATAACACTTTGGTATGAAAAACAAAAAAAAAAACTATTTTTCACTTTTAAAAATACTAATTTTATTATTATATATATAAATAAGAAAATTTTGGTGTTAAGACATGTAAATATATAAGAATTTTGTGGTATGCATGTAAATGCCCACTGGTAAATTTTCATCCCAAAGGGTTTGATATAAATTTTTTTTTAATGTAATAAAAATAATAATAGAAAAAACTCAATCTCCTTAATTAATGCCAATGGTGGCGCCAAAAATAAGAGCTTGAAATGAATGAAGTATTATAGTAGATAGGGAATGATGAGGAATAGTATAGAGCACTTGAAAAACTGTGGTCTCATTATCATTTAATGGCTAGGATTTGATTATTTGTTTGTAAAGATGAATGAAATCCTAGGGGGTCCTATAATTCTAGCCATCATCTATAAACAATTATCGTCCGACTCCTAGCATGACTCACGGTGCAAATCTAAAATTGTACCCCATAGAAGCAAGCTTGATAGATTGATAATTTTGTATTTAACTATATGTAACTGAGTGCAGATCTATGTCGTGCAAGTAACCACAGGACCAAACTTATCAATGAGATTTCCAAAGACCATCTATAAACAATTATTGTCCGACTCCTAGCATGACTCACGGTGCAAATCTAAAATTGTACCCCATAGAAGTAAGCTTGATAGATTGATAATTTTGTATTTAACTGTATGTAGCCGAGTGCCGATCTATGAATATGAGATGTTGTACAAGTAACCAATGGACCAAACTTATCAACGAGATCTCCAAAGACCATGCTCACTAACTGCAACAACTGTGACATTCAACACACAAACAGAATGCTGACAAGTGATAATAACTTCAGCATAAAGGAAATGACAATAAATCAGTGCTAAAATATATATATTTTGGCTAAGTTGGATGTAAATATTGAAAAATGCAGCAGTTTTGTGTTAACTTTTACGCTGCACCAAGAAAGCTACAGTTTCATGAGGCCATGGCCGCCCCTAAAGGAGGCATAGAGAGGCCTGGACCTTCTGAAACTGCACACATCCTTTATTCTGAAGGTGTTGGTTTGATCTGCCTCAGTGATAGCCAATTTGTGCTCAGCAGAATGTAAACCTCCATAGATTTGTATGCTGAGCGTTTTTCTTTTGGGTGCATCAACTTTGACAAAGGAATTAAAAAAATCAAGCAATTGTTCCTTGGTCAGATCCCTCAATGCGGCTACCTGCAATTTTTACAATCACTTTAATAAGGTATAGACAATTATAGGAAAAACAAAACACACTAATTCAGGTTTTTTTTGGAATCACTTTCAATATTTGTTTTTGTTTTTTCTTTTATTCAAAAAAACAAGCCTATTTAGTGTATTTTTTGTTTTTAGAAACAAGTTAGATTGTTTTTAAAAAATTATCAAAACATCTAAAAATTGCTTTGAGTGTTTTTTAAAAATAGTTGAATATGCTATAATATATAAAACATGTTTTATTTCAAGTAAAAAGACAAATAAAATAAAATAAAAATAAAAAAAAATTAAAAGTGATACCAAAAGACACCTTAGGCCATTGGGATCACTCTTCTATTTTGTTTTTTGTGTTTTTTCGTTTATTATGTTTTGTTTATGTTTTAATTGAAATAAAATATGTTTGTTAAGTCAAACTAATATAAGACTTTTTTTAAAACACTAAAAATTATTTTGTATTTTCAAAAACATGTTGATAGCATTTGAAAGTTGGGTATTTACATATTCTGCACCTCAAAATTTAATATTACTAAATCCAAACTTCCGTTAATATTTATGTGAACTTTCTGTCCCAGCACATTCCCACCGGCAGATAACCGACAGCAGTGGAGCTGCACTGTCTCTCTCCCCTCTTTGGCCGACAGCCATCCGTGTTCATGTGCACCCGTCCGACGAGCCCATACTGGCATGGCACGTTTGCTGCCTAGGAACCGGGCATTGTAGTGGACTTGGCGAGGGGAGTAGATCGCTGGTTTTGGATCAGAAGCAGACATAGTGGAGGCGAGGTGCTGCACCAGGTTTTGGGTAGGAGATGAAATATGTGTTTCCGGCGAGGCAAAGATACTTGCCGATCGGAGCATTGGAGCGTTGTCAAAATAATAGAGAGAGATGGCAGATGCCTGAGAGGAGTTTTGCTTTGCATAGGGAAGATTCGCGGGAGTTAAATTGTGGCCAAGAGTGCAGGTGATGGCTCATGCATTAGGCTGGCGTGAGAGGAGCTATGCCGGAGAGGGAGATGATCACGTGAGACAAAGGATGTAGGTGTGTCCAGGAAACGGGATACTGACAGAAGTTCAAATTTAATAATATTAAACTTTGAGGTGCTAAATATGTAAATACCAAACTTTCAAGTGCTATGTATGTAAAAAACCCTTTTAAAATAAAAAATAAAAATATATAAAAAATGCACTAAACAAATGTGTTTATTGAAAAAAAAAAAAACTGGAACAAACCAATAGAAAATGGATGAAAAACAAAAAAAACTTTGTAGTAACTTTATCAATGTAGCTCACTTAGTCAAGTGGCCGGGGTGCTTTGTCTTCAACCATAAGATTTTAAGTTCTATGCTTATAGCATATTCACATGCGTGCACGAAATCATAAAAAAATAGTTGTAGGAACATTACCTCAGCCTCTATTCTGTCGAATCTGAGGGTACCGATGGCAATCTCTCTCCAATAGAATGAAGATTCCTCTCGCAGATTCTTATGTTTCTCGAGCTTCATTGCAATGAGCGCGTTAACATTACTCTGCAGATAATTGCCAGCTCGTTAAAGAACATCATAATTATCTATCGGTGCATTGATATGAAATGTTGTCTAAGCTCTCTGCTACACATTACAACTAAAAACTCCATTTTGGTTAGATTTGTATATCTGAATAAGTTATATTTGACTTACTTCTTCCTTCCAAGTTCTAGTTTATTCCAGTACATCAGATAACCAAGAAATATTTAGCATTTTTTAGCACAAATCCCAATAATTATTTGAAAAGCTACAAAGCAAGTAAAGATAATTGATTGAGAAAACAATAAAGAGCAGACTTCAGGCAGAAGTGGTTACAAACCTTAAAATCACTGCTAGTCAATTTGTCAAGTTCGCTTTCAAACATTTTAAGAAAAGTTTCGACTCTAACATCAAGCTGTGCAGGGTCCTGCGGAAAAAAAATAGTAATGATAATAAGAGAAAGAAATGTGAGGCGTCCCAGAGATGCGCCAGTTGATGTACCTTCACAGTAGACTGGATGATAAACTGAAGTCCGCGGACCCCTGAATCATTCCTACAATGAGGAAGAGATGACATGGAACTCAAATTCATGTCGAAACCAGAATAAAAATACTTTGGGGTATATACATACATATCACTTAAAATATTATTATTTATATATCGGACCTAAAAGTCACTATTCACATACCTAACAAGTAAAAACACATAGATATATAAAAAATACCACTCAGTCATATTAAGATCACGATGTCTCTGCACTCTTGCTCTCCCCTTCCCTCTCCATCTCCCGCTCCAGCACTCCCCATAAATGGAGAAAGGTAATTCCGATGTATGTATGAGTTTAAAGTGATTGGTACGTAAATATGAGCATTTAGGTGTTAGATATGTAAATCCTAACATTTTAAGTGGTATTTACGTAAATTCACCATAAACTTTTATACCTTTGCATGAGCACAGTTATGTAGCCAAGTTGTTCGACCGATCGAAGCTGATGGAATGTTGGTTGCTTGGCAATAAGAGCAAACAATTCCAGCACGACGTTTAACTTTATGTCGTCTCGATGCACCTAAATCCATACATGACCACATGCTCATTAACTTGAAAGAGTACGATATCAAGCCGAACGAGAATACCAAATTACCTGAATATAATATAAGAGAGCAGAATTCTCATCGCTAGGATTTAAACAGCCTATTGAGAAAGAATACTTGATACCCCTTTCAAGCTTAACAATTCTACTTTTCAAATGCTGTGATGGAAATAAGGGTTTGCATATAGGTTGAGGATCCTGAAATAGAACAGCTTCGATACGTTGGATCATGATTTCTGCATTAAACGGCTCAATATTTCCTAAAAAAAAGCATAATTGTAAATATTTCTAGATATGAGAAAGGAAGATTAAATATATACCACACAATTCTTATGTATTTACATATCTAACACCTAAACTTCAACTTTTACAAACCTGCCACGTCCCCTATGCAAGAAAAGGTGTACTTCACCAAAAAAAAATTAAAAATGGTGGTATTTTTGATGTGATATGAAAGAATTGGGTGGAACAAATGTAAAAATTGAAGTTTAGGTGGTAGATATGTAGATTCATAAGAATTGGGTGGTGTTTATGTAAAGGCCCCCAAAAAAGGTTGATGATTGATGTATCTGACCTGCAACAAAACACTCCAAAAAGGTTCTCGAGAGCAAATCCCTGGAGAAAATTGAAAGATGCTCTACTTCGAGATGAGGCAGGACTTCAAGTTTTTCATTCCATGGCCAGGCATCCTCATCTAGTATCAATGAGCAGTTATACATAGCTTGTTCATAGGGTTGTCGAAACCTAAAATTATCATAACCCTTTTTCACTGTTTCCTGATATTACACAAATATCAGAATGTGCTCAACTGATATAAATATCAAAAAGCAACAAAATTAATAAACATCATGCAAAGGTATAAAATGTGTTTATTCAGCAGTAAGGAACCCGCCCAAGACAATTAGAATTCAACCCAGGATTGAGCATCAATCAGAGAAATTAAAAAAAATGTGTTTATTCCAAGAGCTCAATCAGAGAAACCAAAAGAAAGATACTTCACAGGCCAAACAGTCCTGCTAATTGAATGGAAGGCTAGTGTAGAAAATAGTTACCTCCTGATGTAGGCCGAAAGAACTCCAAGAACATAATAGCAAAATATCCAAGCTAGTGAAAATCCAACAGAACCTCCCCAAGCTACCAAAATTTCAATAACCTCAAAGCCTTCCCCAAAGGGGGGTTTTATAGCCAAAAGGGAGGAGGGAAAACCAGAAGAAACCAGGATAGGGCTCACTGGTCAGGAGGAGAAACAAGATTATTTTGATGAGCAAAATTTCGGGAAAAAGGGAATCACCTTATCCATTGAATGCTTTGAAAAATTAGGCTCAAAGGATGAATCCCCACCGAAACAGGAAGCTTGCTCTCCCAAGAAATGGAGCAGACGCGGGCTTCAGAAAGGAGGAATTTCGGGCAGAAAATGAATAACGAGAAGTCAACTGTACTGCGCTGTGTGTTCATAAATTAAATTAAAACGAGAGAAATGATCTTAGGCAATTCGTTTAGGTGTTATTTTGGATGTTATCAGACTTTTATTGTGGTAATATTGGAGGAAAATCACGGCAGTGGTATTATTGGTGTTATTGTAAGGGTTATTGAGGTGTATTGAGGGGGTATTGCGGTTCCGCGGCAGATGGTGTTATTGGCGGTGTTATTTGAGTTGTATTGAGGTGTTATTAGCGAGGGATTGAAAACGTGAGTGTTATTGCATGCGTATTATGTGGCGGCGTGGTGTTATTGCGCGCGTATTAAGTGGCGGCGTGGTGTTATTGGCGATAAATTAATGAAACACGGGTATTATTGGGGGCGTATTGCGCGACAGCGGGGTGTTATCTAGAGATTTGCTGCGGCGGCGTGAGAACAGTGTTATTTCAATAGTATTACAATAGTATTGTGTGTTATTGTGAGGTTTTGCCACGAACTGTGGTGTTATTACGACGACGAAGCGGCGGTCTTATTGTGGGTGTATTGCGATAGTATTGTGGTGTTATTGACAGAGTTTTGTCGTGGAACCATGGTGTATTGCTGCGGCGGAGCGATGAAGTTATTGTGGGTGTATTGTGGTATGGTATGGGGTGTTATTGTGGCATTGAAGTGGCATCGAAATGGTGTTATTGGCTCGGGTTTAGCCCAAATCAAGCCAAAATCTAACCTGAACTCCTTCCAACTTTAATTCAACTTATATTCACATGACACAAGACAATTGATGATTTGGTGCACTTAGGAATTGTCATGAGGGAAATTTGGAATGTAAATTTTGTAAAATTGGATTTTAGCCTAGAATTTGATGAAATTGGATCTCATTTTGAATATTGTGTGGAATTTGAATTAAATTGACGTGAATTTGTCAATTTGAGGTCCATGGAAACCATGTTTAAATATTGGTGAGAATTGGTTGATAATTTGTGAAGTTTGGATCAAATTGGTGAGGGCGGAGTGAAGTGTAAATGAAGTGATGACCAAGCCACCTAAGATCAAAAAGGGCGTCCCTAAGGCCTCATGATCCTATGGAAATTCATTTTTTGAATCTTCATATGTTGGTCTCAATCAACTTAACCAAGTATTGAGGATTTAAGACCACCCATGTGAGACTTCACAAAAAGAGTCAAGAAATTGTTAGAAGTCTTAAAACCTTCTAGGATAGTCAATAGGAAAGTTTTATGACTAGATCTTAAGACCTAAGAAGAAGACTAGACCTCATAAAAAATGAGGTCAACAGATGTGTATTAACTACAGAGATTTGAATAAATTCATAGGTAAAAATAAGTATCCACCACTGAGGATTGACGACTTGTTTGATCAGTTAGAAGTGGCTTCCGTGTTTTTAAGGATTGACTTGAGGTCAGACTATCACCAGTTGAGGATTAAAAAAGAATACATGGCGAAGACCACTTGCAGGACAAGATATGGGCCCTATGAATTTGTGGTGATGTCGTATGGACTGACAAATGCTCCAACAACTTTCATGGATCTGGTGAACAGGGTCTTCAGATAGTTTTAGATACCTTTGTGATCACATTTATAGATGATATCTTGGAGTATTCAAGAGATGAAGTCAGTCATACAGGTCATTTGCATGGTGTTGAGGAGCCGGCTGGTCCTCACGAGCCACTCCTAGTTATCCTATATTATATATTTGCTTTCGCAGGAGTCTAGGATTAAGTTTTTGTGTGTTTTGTATCGGGACAGCCGCTGACATCTCTTCTTCCCTTTAAAGGTTGTATCCTAGGGTTAAAAATGGTGCTTCGACTATATCTTGGTTTCTGTGTAGTGATTATCTTCCGTATCTTCTTCCACATCCTCCCCACATCACTCATGACCACCCCTTCTCTGTTGCAGCAGACGGAACAGCTATCCTGGCTGTTTCTTCCTGCAGTTTTCTATATCCAGCTGCCACTAGCCGCTTTTCTGTTTGCTGCCGCCATCCAGGACAGCAGGGAGTTGCTGGCCCTGCCTTTTCTAGCCTTCCCAGCCACTACGCCTCCCCTTCCAACGCGCTGCCGCCTCCAGAACAGGCGCTTCCCACTTGCCGTCATCTTCCAGAATCTGTGCTACCCTTTTCCACTTGCTGCCATCATCTGGAACCTCCACTACCACATTCTCCCTTGCTGCCAGCACCCCAAACCGGACGCCTCTTGCTGATTTCTGCTCCGAACTGGTCGCATTCTTGTTGCCATCGCTCTGGACAGCCCTCCTGTATCAACTCCTGCTGTTTGCTTGCAGCCAGGATCATTGGAAACCAATGCCTCTGAGTTTTCTGCTTGCCCACCACCTCATCCATCATCCCTCCCTCTTTCAAACCCTCGCCGACCACCATCACCGCTCCTAGATCCAACTCTAGTTGAGTTTGTCTTATTATCTGTTGCAATTTCTGAGTTCTAGTATCTTAGGTTGTAAGTTCCTCTTGGAATTCAACAATAATATATTTTTTTTCATTTTATTTTTTGGATAACTCTAGTATCATCCACCTTCTAAAAAATTAATATGGATACCAACTAAAATATATGAGAAGAGCTATGTAAGGATTCTCAAAGCCCTTACATCTCATGTATAAGGATGACTAGATATGAGAAGAGCTATATTAAGATTTTCAAAGCACTCATATCTCATGTGACCTAGATGATGAAGACATTAATAGTAGATTAATCCATCTGCTCGAGTTTTCTACAGAGTGGAGATATGCCTCTAGTTACCCAGAATAACTTATCATTGGAGAACCAACTTAAAGAAATGGGCGTAGAACATATTTAGAAATGAAATGGACAACTCAACAATCTTATGATACATGAGAGTAACGGTAATCTCAACGTTCTTATAAAAGATAAGCGTATATAATGAAGACCACAAAACATAAAACACTGTTGCATCCACTACAAGACAAATCACAACCGTGCGATTATAACCAATTGTGTTTTGTTTTAACTGAAAAGATTCCATAGACATCTATATATACATGTATTCTGTCTTTACACATTAATGAGAAATAGAAATTACTTTTCATTATTCTCTGTATATTCTTTTTCATTCTCTGTAACTTTCAAATGGTATCAGAGCTATTGATCCTTTCTTCTTCCCCGATTGGCTCCAACCTCTCCATGAGTTCTGCTCAATCTTCTGATGTGCACAGCACAATTCAGCTAGTCAGTATACCCATTCCTCCTCAAACTCAAAAACACTCTCACATTCCAACTGTCAACCAAAAATTACTCTACCTGTTGTGCTCATATACTCAAGTTATTCAAAGCTAATGTGTTTGAAGGATACCTCATATCAGCACCTTCCAAATACATCGCTGCACTTGAAGTTACGTTCACCACCAATCTACATTTCCAGCTATGGAACCTTGTAGACCAAAACCTAGTCACTGCTCTCTATGCAACAATCTCACCACCTCTACTTCCCTATGTTTTGTCCCGTGACACCTGAAAAAAAGTATGCACTACCCTCATTCATAGATTACAATCTACAAACAAATGAAAGCTCATTCTTTGAATGAGCTTCATAGCATCCATACGCAGGTACGAACAATGAACCAGTAACTTGCAGACATCAAGTCCAAAATCGATGCCATAGGTTCAAATGGACACATACAGCCCCCCTGAGGATATTATCCTCTACACACTGAAAGAACTTCCTTCCAATCACCAATCCTTCAAAACAGCTGTTAAAACTAATCCTTAATCCATTAGCTTTGAAGAATTCTACTCCTTGTTCTGCAGCGAAAAAGCCAACCTCGTAATGGAAGCACTCAAGGAACTGCAACTCCCACAGCATACGCACAGCACACAACTCATGCTGCAACTAGAGGAAAAGGTCGGGGCAGGTTTAATTCCACTAGAGGACGACAAAACCAGCAAACAACCCTTGTCTCACAATGACACTACCTTCACTGGAATTCCAACTTGTCAAATATGCTGCAAGTGAGGTCACACGACAACCAACTACAGGCATCATCAAGACCTTAGCTACACAGGCACTCCCTTCAAACAGCAAGCTCTATTAACTGAAAACACAAACTCCCAGCTAGCATCAACTACAAGCTGGGGATACTTGATACCAGAGCTACCTTTCACTTAACACCCAAGGCTCATAATCTTCAAAATCACCTCTTACCAAGGCAACCATCACATTTCTCTCGACAATAGACAATCCCTGCCTCTCTCTCGTACAGAACAAGGTTTTCTATCCACTCTCAACGGTAAGCTATATCTAAACCAACTTTTCTACATCCCCAACCTTTCCCACATTTTTTATTCTTTTCATATGCTCACCACCGATAACTCCTGTATCATTTTATTCGATTCTCATACCTTTAAGATCCTAGACAAAAGTCTGGACGACTTCTGTCTTTTCAACTTATTCTTTGATATTATATTTGCCATGTAATGTTTTAAGAACAAAAGGATTGATAACAAAATTCTTTGATATTATATGTTCAGATTGTATTTTCTTTTCTTTTTTTGGATTCCTTTTCCCGGAATATTAAGGATGAAATAAATCAATAGAGCAATCATGGAATTGGGCTTTCCTGAGAATCCTAAAATGCTCTCTCTTTTATAGGTACAATTTTTCCACTTGTTGTTCATTATTTTTCTTGTGTTTTTAATCTCTGTTTTAAATACTTGTATCTGTTTTTTAACAAGAAATGTCTTGTGCAATATGAACTAACGGGATGCATTTAAAAATCAAAATTTTAAAAGTTGACCTTTCCAAGGAAAAAATAATGTGGAAATCCTACCAATCCATTAAAAATAGAAAATGAGAGTGAGGGGGCAGTCAAAGAAATCTATAAAAAACATTCAAACATACTCAATGCCCCAAATTCTTAAAAAAGTTCATATAAACATAAAATAACAATAAACAAAAAAACAAGTAATATCTACTCAGTTAAGATAATCATTTGAGATATTATAAGAAATTTTAGGTTTGCTCAAACTCCAAAGTTTAGTCAAAACCCTAACAAAAGTAGTTAAGAGGAACAACATCTAGCATATCTTAATCATTTTGAAAAAAGTAAGGGCTTCTTTGGATCACCTTTGTTTTTGTTAATATTTTAAAAACAAGTTTGTTTAGTGCATTTCCTACATTCTTTTATATTTTTTTAAAATCAAATTAACCTTTTTTTTAACATTCAAAATATCTAAATTTATTTTAACTATTTTAAAAACAACTAAACATGCTATATCATACAAAATATGTTTCGATTTAAATCAAAACATAAACAAAACAAATATAAATTAAAAAAAAATCAAAAGTGATCCCAAAAGGCTCCTAAACAAATACCTTGATAACAGAAAAGCGGTCTTCCTTCACCTCCAAGTTCTTGATTTTATCAACAACAGTTCCTAAAAGACTTTGCATCTTGTGATTATAACCAGCTACAGTAACCTACAGAAAAAAATAAATGAAAAGTACATAAGAATTAGGTATAATAATTTAATGCTGGAATAATACGCAGTGCTCAGAGAAATAAAATTAAACACATTATATCATTCCAAAGAACCAGTCAGCTCCATTTTGAGGCATAGTCAAGGTTCCAGGTCAGACTGAACAGCTTAAACAAATACGTACAGTGTAACTAAAACATCACTCTTATGCATGCTATTGAAGCAAGCTTAGTTTGTTTTTTCTTTATAAATTGATTAGAAACCTATTCAAATTAACAACAACTCTTGATTTCTGGTCTGGAGAAGTGAAGGCATTCATTGCTTTCTTTTTGTTAAAGGCATGAAAAAGATTTCGACTTGTTTTTACTTTTAAACTTAATGGAAAATCCAAAAGGGTGATAGTGTTAAATTTTGGAAAGATAAATGGATCGGGACAAGACTCACACAACTCCATATCCTGATATTTTAAGTTTAGCTTTGAACCAAACACTCTGTGCTATCTCAATTTCGTACCTTCAATGGTTGGAGAATTAAATGAAAAGACATTATTCCTATTTATTTTGGCAATAATGTCTTTAAATTTCATTCTAAATTGAAAAAAATTATCCTAAATCCCAATCTGGATTCACCTTAATGGGTGGTATCTGTTATGACGGCGCCTAAGGACTATTTAGTCTTTATTAGCCTAAGAGCAATTTAGTCATTTATTATTGTTTTGTATAAATAGGCATAATAAGTTTTGGGTTGGGGTTATGCATGACATTGCTCTTTGAGTCTTAGGGTTAGGGTTCGGAAGAAATTTCCTCTTCTTGAATTGTAGGAATTGGGAGAGATCGTCTACCTCTCGAATTGTAGGTGTTTATCTTGGTATTTGTGTTAAATGTTGATGTTCTTGCCATAAAATGACCTAATTACTGTGGGAAATCGATTCAATTCCTATCAAATTGTTATCGGAGCATAGATCTAGAAATCTCGAAGAACAAAAGGCCATCAGGTCAGCAAAGAGGATTGCGACATACAGACTTCGTGATATCACAAGCCAACAATTTTGCACCGAACCCGTGTATAGGAGTTCCACATGATATCTCCTTCTGTATCTCGACGTCTCCTTAGTGGCCAAATCTCGCGATACAACACAATAAGAGCTAGCTGTGAAGCAAACGACGGGATCGTGACATACACGTGTCTCCATAGTACCCTAATGTCGCGATATAGTCGCAATTTGAGCTAGCTGAAAAGCGGACAATGGAATTGTGTTGTACACAACGTCTGCATTGCGCCATAATCTCATGATATAATTGTGATTTGAGTTGGCTGAAAAACCAACCACGGGATCGGGCATACAGAGACCGAACCACGGGATCATGGCACAAGGAAGCTAGCGTTAGAATCACGATTCCACCTTTGGTTTTGAAGTCAGACACCTTAACGAACTGCACCAATGATATCAAAAATCTTCTTAGGAGTAATGACAACTAAGAAAGTAGATGTTGTGGATATGAAATTCAAGGGAGAGTTGAGCCACATCATATTTGAAATAGATGAATGCTTCTTGACCATCGAGGACTGGTTGGAGAGGAGATTTACGACGCTAGATTAAAAGATGAAGATCATGGTGTTTCACACAAAAATGCCTCCGCCTCACGCAGGATTGGACGATGGCAACGAGAACGGATGCGAGCAGCAACAACAAGGTTAATTCGTGCAAAATCAAGGCAGCGTCACTGCATTAGGAGGATCGGGAGCTACAGTTTGAAGCGAAGAAATCAAGAGCAAACTCAAGCGACAACATCTGGAGGGAGTTGCACATCATCGTGAGGGTTGGGACGAGTGACAGTAGACAAATCAAAACAACATGCAATTCAGAATTGGAGAAGATCGCTTTAAAAAACGTCGGCTAGGGATAGAAAACTAGGATGGGTAGGACCCTAACAGAGGGCTACATACAAATGCGCCAGTACTTTTTGTTATACAAGCCTTCCAAGTGGAAGGCGATTACCCGGTAGGCAATTCATAAGTAATAATGGGAACAAAACAACGAAGAAGAGCAGGGGAGTTTGTAAGGAACTAATATGGGCACCATAGAGTATTCAAGAGGGAGAAACAAGATGGTGATGCTTCAATGTGACCCCAACTTGGGCAAGACGTAAGTGACTTTGAAGACTATGATAAGGTCGATTAAGAATGCAAGACTAAGATTCTTAATTGACTTGCATATCATGAAAGAGTCACATGATATGGAGTTGACAGAGATTCCGAAGACCAATAAGCTGCTGGATGAGTTGTTTGGGGTGACGATATTCTCTAAGATTGACTTGAAGTCAGAGTACCATTATATTTGAATGAGACAGAAGTATGTGCAGAAAATAACATGTTGAAACTGTGAGGGTCACTACGAGTTTCTAATTAAATGGAAAACATTGTTAGATGAAGATGCCACGAGAGAGCCATATAACCTGACCCGACGATAAATTTTCACCTTGAGGACAATGTGTCTTTTTGAGAGGGGAGTAATGTTATAACGATGCCTGATATGGAGCGAGACACGTAAATCTCACAATAGAAGCCTTGAGGCAGGAGTGAAGCAGAAATCTCGCGATCAACGTGTGATGTGGGAAGCCCCGTGAAGAAAGCGACCCCTAGCTTTCACATCTAGACCGAACTAGTCTAGGTTTTTTTCGACGCTGATGTGTCAGCCAGACCTCTTAGTATATATTTGTTTTTCGAGTTTTAGGTTGGGAGCTTCATGTTTCTATTCAAGATAGTCCTGGGCATCGGGTTGTTTTCCTTCTAGAGTTGTATCCAATAGAGGGTGTTGCTTCAGTTGTAGCTCGTCTGAGGTGTTGACCTTCTTCCAAGGGTTGAGTGGTGCTTCAATTGTGGCTCATTCTCGAGGGAAAATTTATTGATACCAGAGCCAACGCAACTCACGACGACGAAAGATAAATTTTATTAAGCATATAACGAAGAATACAATCAAAACTCGAAACAAAAAGAGAACAAAAAAAAATAACGACAGCACTTGCACGATTCAACTATGGCCTGGGAGTATCCGCTGATGTTAGCTGCTAAGTAGGTGTAACCGGTGACGGTAAGTGAAGAGAGCAGCACGTGTGAGTGGCTGCTAGAAGGTGGAGGGCAGCAACAGGTGTGGGTGGCTACTGAATGGTGGGGTAGCAGCGGCCGCGACATGGCTGACAACAGGTGTGGGTGGTTGTCCAGAGGGTCTGGAGGGGTACTGCAGGCGGTTGCAGCTACAAGAGGAAGTGGACATGGTCGAGGACCTATCGATAATTGTAGCGGAGAAAGCGACAGCCTGCTACGAGCATCGGAAGTGGGGTGGGGGCCTGTTGGAATTGCAGAACGGTACCAAGAACCAACGGTTCGATGGAAGCCTGACGAGGGACTTAACAACAACTTGGTAACCTGGAGGGGAGGGCTACGACACTCTAGGATCACCGGAAGAGGAACCTGCAATCGTTTCAAAGCAAGCGGAGTCGACACAGTTAAGAATCATGCGAAGGGAAACCCGCAATAGTCTGGAAGCGAGTGAAGGAATCAACGACAATATGGGGTCTCACCAAAGTTTCTGCGACAATATGGAAGCCTAAGCGGGTGACCACGACAAGGTAGAAGTCACAGGAGAAGGACAATGATCGATTGGAGCGGTAGGAGGAGATTGATGACAACTTGAAGCTGCTGGAAGAAATTTGCGGTAGCAAGGAAGCAGCGGAATTACAAAGATAGTCACTACCTCGAAAGAGTTATAACTGGAGCACCACCTCGTCGTTGAATACAACCCTCTAATAGAAAATGTCGATGACAAACTCTAAATTCAAGTAAAAAACCAATAACCCCTAACCTAAACAAATATCACCTATATATAATGGAGATTAGTAAGCACAATTGGTAATAATCAAAATATGAAAGAAATTAGAAAAGGTAGACATAGAATAGGCAAGAACTAGAAACGATAGTAATGGAAAAGAAATGAGAATAGAACGAAAACAGGAAAAAGGAAGGGGTAGTATGTGGCGGCAAGTCCCACCACGTCTAGGGGTCGGCCAATTAGTAGGGTTGGACTGGGCAAGGTCGGCTCAAGTGCCCCGTTCCTAGCCCCGCATCATTTATCTTGGCCTTTCCTTCCCCGCACCCCTCACTTCACTGCCATGGCTCTTTCCTTGCTGCAATCTCCCAAAACAGTTGTCGTTGTCATTCTTTCCTACAGTTCTCCTTTTCCCAGCCACCTCCCGTCCACAATCCCTACTGTCTTCCTTTCAAATCAGCCACCAGTTCTCACTCTTGCTGTTTTTGACAGCCCACAACCTTCCAAAAGCCCAACACCCTCTGCCATCATCGTTCCAGCCCTCCATCCTTGTTGCCCTCGTGTCCCAACCCTCCACTATCGCTTCAGCAGCCCGCAACGCCTCTGCTTTGTTAATTTCCAGCTATCCAACCACCCCAAAGAGCAGACTGCCATCGTTTGGACAACCGCCCCATTGTTCCAACCGCTTATAATTGTTACCTCCCCCATCCACAAGAACGGAAATCCCTTTCCTATTTTGCAACCACCTCTCCAAGCCCCCTAATTGTCATCACCATCACCCGAGCTCCAACCTAGCGTGAGTTGCATAAGTTTGATTCTAACCGCCTATTTGCTTCCAGTACTTCTAATAATAAGATTTATTTTTTTTATTGTGGTTTGGGTTAACTTCGTTATCATCACTTACGGGTAATTTAGTTTTTATTAGACTAAGGGCAATTTAGTTACTTGTCATTTATTGTTGCTTATTATAAATAGGGAATATGCTTATAGTTAGGTTATGATAAAATTGTTGTCTTTGAGTTTTAGATTTGGGTTTTGGGAGAGATTTCCTACCTCTCAAATTGTAGGAATTGGATGGGATCGTCCACCTCTCAAATTGTAAGTATTTATCTTCGTATTTGTGTCGAATGTTGATGTTCTTGTAATAAAAAAATATTTGCCCTAATTTCTGTGTG